TACAAGATCCTGTTTTTTACTTTCTAAACCTTAAAACAAAGAAATGTATATTTAACTAGAGTGCCTAATTTGTAATACATATAGGAAACCATAGTAGACATTATAACTTATCCTAAAACAAAAGGGTGACCATAATGTAAATCAGTCAGAAGGATTGTTCTGGTCTGTCATTCCTTTCTGCTATTCAAAAAGGGTGGCTGACAGGATGAAATCAAATCATACATTAATTCTCATAGTACATTATAAAATCCAGCTCCTACATGGGAAGGGGAAAGAGTACATGTGGCTTGCTGGCTCTGTGTATGGATGGCCAGCCTTCATATACATACATGCAGGGCAGTGAGAAGGATTTAACTCCATGTTTGGGGTCCCCTGGGCTGCTATTCACCGGGTTGTGGCTGGCTTTCAGTGTCCCTGATCTGGAGGTGTGGCTCCCCCTAACTCCACAACCTCTGCCTCTCTCTCAGCAGCTTTCATTTATTGTGCACCTAGAAGGCTTGTTCCAGACTCTCCAATCCCAGTAAAGTAAGAGAGAGCATTGGAAGAAGGTGAGAAGGAATAGGTTTGACTTGGGTTGCAGGGAAGGAGAAGAAATGGGTTTGGATGTACCTACAGAAACACATGCACAGCATCCTTCAGATGTCTTGTGATGGTAGAACCATGAGGACTCCACAGACAGTATTGCTCAGGCTGCATCCGGTCTTCATAGCATGGGGGTCAGCTCAGACCTCTCAGGGTTTGGCTCAATACATGATCATTTCATATTTTGGTCGGCATAGTTTTACTTTGCGTAAGTGATAATTTCCATAATAAAAGTTCATATGAAAATATGTAATAAGTAGTTATACACAATATTTTTTTCAATCTACAGTGAAGATTTTAAAAACATATTGGGCTTCATTGTGCACTAATTACCTGCCAAATTTTGTTTTATACAAATTTTGTGTATGAGCAATGAAGTGCTGAAGAGTATCTGAAACTATCTTATAAAAGATTTCAGAGTGGCAGCCGTGTTAGTCTGTATCTGCAAAAAGAACAGGAGTACTTGTGGCACCTTAGAGACTAACAAATTTATTAGAGCATAAGCTTTCGTGGGCTACAGCCCACTTCATCGGATGCGTAGAATGGAACACACAGAAAGAAGATATTTATACATACAGAGAACATGAAAAGGTGGGAGTAGCCATACCAACTGTAAGAGGCCAATCAATTGAGATGAGCTATCATCAGCAGGAAAGAGAAAAAAACCTTTGAAGTGATAATCGAGATGACCCATAGAAGGTGTGAGGATGTTTTAACATATTTTAACATGAGGCAATAGATTCAATTAGTGTAATGACCCAACCATTCCCAGTCTCTGTTCAAACCTAAGTTACCTTATAAAATAATTTCAAATATCACTGTACATTAAGGGTGTCTTCCCTCTAAGGCTTAGTGCAGTATTGTTCTCCCTTGCTATTTATATTTGTCAAATGCAGTTCATTACTGACCTTAGGATCCAAAGCCCTTAACAATTATAAAACCCTCAGTTCAAGCCACAGGGGCTCATCCAGCCAAAATTACACATAAGCAACTTTTGAAGAAATCGTAAAAGTCAGTTTCATTCTACAAATTACCATCATTCCTCTGGCTTCTGAATTTGAAGCAATACAGCTTTAAAATTTAGATCTCCTTCCAGCTTTTGGAGCAGGAATTCCTTTTGTATATTCATGTGGGCTTTTCTATTCTATTCAGTCTATTCTAGCAACTTCCTCACCTCCATTGACCAACAATTAGGAACTTCCATGTGTCTATAGATCTTGTGCCATCTGAAGTTCTTGAGATGCATTTGCAGTTTATTTCTTCTATTCTGTTATTACTTGTCTCTAGGTTTGGCCAGTCCTTCTTGAAGTCTTTCCCTGACAATGACGATTGATGATATTTGATAGAAGGTGTCCTAAAGGGAAAGAAGGTGTCAGTTTTTGCTCTGTTTATATGATTGGTTCCTACTAGCTCCCTCTCAAGATATGGCCCTCTTATGTTCCAATATCTAGCCCAAAAATTCATGATTTTCTCACTTGGATTATCTTGTATACCATCTTTGAGTAGTATTTGATATCTCAGCAGGAAAGGCTGGCGTTCCCTTCCAAAGATGTGATATACATCATTAATCAAATTAGCTGCTTCTGTTCACTCGCAGCTGCATGCCAAAGGGATTCTGTTGATTTTTTGTTTGTTTGTTTGAAAAATTATCACTCCAGGCCATCTCAGATATTGCTTATTCTCATCATATTGGAAAACTTTAGGTTAGCCACACAACACCTCTAATGAACCAGAGTACCACCTTCTCCAAGGTGATCTTTGGACACTCAGACATATTATATTTGGCTTAAATAAAGACATAAGGGTTTGATATCCACTCATGAGGAAAATCACTGACTTTTCTGCGCTTTGCTTGGAGGCTACTAACAACATTCTACTACTGCCAGTGCGAATTTTCAAATCAGGCTAGGGAATGGGACAGAAATGGTGACGATGATAGGTTACCTCCTTCTGTAAGGATATCCATCACAATAGTAAAAATGCTATATGAGTTAGGGGGTATTATTTATTGTTGACCTCTCAGCAGCTTTTGAAGCCTTTGATCATTTGGTGCTGCTGGCTTGTAGGTATAGGGAGAACATTTTTTAGATGGCTTCTCTCACAAGTACTAAATTCATTACATTTTTGAAATCCTTCAGAGTGGAGGAAGTTCACTATATAGTTTAAAATCCCTCTTCTGTTCAAGATCAGGCCTTCTGAGCTAAGGTTCTGAGATGCCTCATTAGAGGAACTTTGTAAAATAAAGTTTATTTGTATGCCTAAGACCTTGCCAGAAATTGTAGGTTAGATATCTTTGCTTCTGCCGTGTTTGGCTGCTGCAGTATAGATTATGACTTTATAAACACCTCCTTTTTGGGTGATCAGATGATGAGATCTCACCAGTTCCAAGTTCATAGTGGCTAAGAGTGCGGAAAGAAGAATGTATTAACTGCTAATGATTATTCTGTATCTCAGCTTTGTCAATATATACCGATCCACCCTAAGGATTACACTACAGGCTTTGTTCAGTTACATTAAAAGCATTTTTAAATTGCACTTTCATTTGCCTGTTTGTTAGTCTTGCTGTCATGGGAACTTGTTCTCCGGAAATAAGGCTTTAAGTGGAGAAGAGGGAAGCATCCAGAAATTAAAAACATCCAAAGATAGGTAAGAATGCTTGATCTGGAATGTAGGAACATCACTACCAGGTAGCAAACTCTACCCTCTATATTCCTATTTGTGAGAAATAAAAAAAAAAAAATCAGTGAGTGATTTCATTTAAACAATGATAATTATAACTTATCTGTAGAGATTTCTTGTATTTGATATAAAGCAGGGTAATACATGTTTTTATTTTAATAAATTAGGGATGACCTTGCAGGATTTGTATTTTCATTCTTGAGTTATGCCTCATTCTAGTTGGCAGAGAGAACCTACTACTCTGCACTGTCATTTCCATATAAATGCATAAGGTATAGACAAATACAAAGCATGTTTATACTGATTAGATAATGCCAGAAGCAGGGTATTATGGACACATCCACATTGATGGGGTACTAAGTGTATTATAGGCAGGTAATTATACCTTTGCCAAACGTAATTGTTGAACTTAAAATTTTCTAACTTAGGTCTCTTCCTTGTGTTGTTTGGGTTTTTTAAAGTTTCAGCAAAAGCAGTCCAGCCATCTCCATGAATGAAGTTAGGGAAAAAACAGGTAATTTTGCCAATTAAAAAATATTTCTTTGAACCATTTTAACACCGCCGTACTTTGAAATAGGTACTTGAAATGTGGCAGAAAGAAGACTGTGGGGTGAAGTAGGTGCTTTGTGCTGTCCCTGTTAAATCTGTTGGCTATCAAATAGTGGAGGTCCACAGAGCTTCAGCAATGTAGCAGCCATAGAGGGTAACTTATTTAATGGTGAACACTGCATTAAACTCTCTTTAAATATACACTTGTTTGATTTACTACTTATGCATAATATTTTTATGACGTGTGAAGATGGACGCATTCCTTGTCAATATGAATCCCTCTCTTTTCTTTCTTTAAACAATAAAAGCACAGAGACAAAGAAAGTAAATACAATAAAAAATGAAATCTTTATTTTTTGGCTCGATTATAACGTAGTTTACGTTCTTTATGGTAACAGCAATTTCCTGCATGCAGTTCACCAACACATTACAAGTCAAAAGCTTTAGTAAAAGAGTCTACCTTTAACTTTAGCTTGTGTATGAAACACAAAATGTCCTGATCTAGATTATACAAGTGTGCCATTTTATTCCCGGAAAATATTGTGGGTCCCATATTGTATTTAGAAGAGTTCTAGCGCAGCATGAATCAAAAAGATTAAGTATAATCTATGTCAGGGGTCGGCAACCTTTCAGAAGTGGGGTGCCAAGTCTTCATTTATTCACTGTAATTTAAGGTTTCGCATGCCAGCAATACATTTTAACGTTTTTAGAAGGTCTCTCTCTCTAAGTCTATATTATATAACTAAACTATTATTGTATGTAAAGTAAATAATAGTGCAGCGAGGTGAGTGGGGCTGGCGGCCAGTATCCCAGGCCAGCAGCAGGCTGAGAGGGGCCGGTGGCCAGGATCCCGGCTGACACGGGGCTGGTGGCCGGAACCCCAGACCGGCTGTGGGCTGAACGGTGCAGGTGGCCAGGACCCCAGCTGGCATGGGGCCGGTGGCTGGAACCCCAGACCGGCTGTGGGCTGAGCGGGGCCAGTGGCCAGGACCCCGGCTGGCAGGGGGCCGGTGGCCGGAATCCCAGACCAGCAGTGGGCTGAGCAAGGCCGGCGGCCAGAACCCCAGACCATCAGCGGGCTGAGCAGGGCCAGTGGACAGAATCCCAGACTGGCAGCGGGCTGAGCGGCTTAGCCCGCTGCTGGTCTGGGATTCCGGCCACCGGCTCCTGCCAGCTGAGGTCCCGGCCGCCGGCCCCACTCAGTCCGCTGCCGGCTGAGGGTTCCGTTCATCCAGGCTGAGCGGGGCCGGCGGCCGGTACTCTGGCTGGCAGCAGAGTGCCACTAAAAATCAGCTTGCGTGCCGCAGGTTGCCAACCCCTGAGCTATGTAAACAAACACTGGAAAAATAGCAAGGATTCCATGAACAACAAGACTATCTCAAAACTTCTGATGCAAGCAGTGCTAGAAATTCAAACATCCCCCCGCCACTTCCACTTACTAGCTATAACTATTTGGAACCAAATAAACTTGGTTTCCAGTTTTACACAAAATATTTCACATTGAAATGTTTGCAATATTAAAACAAAGTAGCCTACAAATACTCACTATTTTCTTTATTTCTTTCATTGTGAAGTTCTCCATTGAAAATTAACATGGATAGAAAATAAACAAGTGACTGTGGAAAATAACTTAAGAAACAATTACATGAATCTGATGACAGTTTTCTTATGTACAAAAATGCTGCCAAGTAATATGATTTATTTTTACATTATTTATATATGCTAACCACATTTTCAACAGGTTAAACAGTTTGTAGGAGGCCCTATACAGTCTGGCTTTACACCAAATAGTAACCATTTAAAATGCAAAACTAAAGAAGCTGGTAAATAACTGCAAACTATTGCTTAATGATATGAAGGAATGAGGTCTGGTTGAACAATTTAATTCACTTTACCACTGACATATGGCTTCCTACAGTGAAGAACTCTGAACAGTAGACCGAGCAAAATACAGCAGCAAAGGCAATATTAACATGCATCAGTGATACCCTCCAAACTATCTATAATGGTACAGAATACAATAGATTACCTGTTGAAAGCTTGCAAACTAAATATACTGTGGTACTTATTTGATACAAAGTACTGTGGCATGACCACTTATTTGTATGCTCAAATATGCACAACAGTGTAAAATAAGTATTTACATAACAGAGGGCATTTTATTGACCTATTAGATGTCAGTCTAACTGAGAGAAGAACATACGAAACAATACCTCAAGATAAAGTAGAATTTCTAAACAAGTGACTTGTTTGGTGAAGTCACTTTTCAAGGGCAGATTCCATATGATATTTTTTTCCTGTGGAACATTTAACAAAAACAAAGATTATGTGACTGGAATTTAGGATGAAGTTTGCACTTCCTGATATTTAACAATTTGCATTAAAATAATCCATTTCTAAATTCTTGTAAATTACAGGAGACTTTGCAGGCACATAAAGATTTGTCTGGATGCGACAACATAACTAGTTAAAACACCTCAAATTTTAGAGCCACCCTGAAATGTGGAAGTAATTAAAACTCTGTTACTTTGTCTGATGTCATTTTTTTCCATGCGTGATCTAGAAGTGCAGCATGCCTTCATGCAAATCACTGCTGTCTGTACATTATAGAGAATTAGAGAGCAGAACACCTGGTCCTCGAACCCTCTTCCCCAACATAAAACCCATTTACAAAAATAGTCACATATAATAGTAAACAACCTGTGAATTAAAAAAACAATAAATTCACCAAAACCAATTTTGTAAAAATATGGCAAATGTGGCAGTTGAATTACAAACAGTGGATACAGTTACTGTACTAAATATTTTGCAGTATGTTAAAACCCACAAAAATTATAGCTTTGCACACCTTTCATGGTCCCTAGAGACTGTAGCCACTGTGTGTCTCCTCTTCAGCAGTGTCAGCTGTAGTGAAAACAGAAACCTCTTGTCAAGGTTGTTACCCTGTTTTACAGAGTCACAGGTTGATGACAAGAGATCACTGTCTTGTTATAGGCACTGACCTTGAGTGTGTGTATATATATATGTATAATATGTATATACACACACATATATATATATATATATATGTAAAAACTGTCAGTTTGGCATAAACCTCCTTCAGGAGTCCTGTTGACACAAATACATCTTTCAAAGGCTGTAAACAATTTGTCACACAAACAGAATTCTTAGTTTTTTATTTTTTACTTTCCCTAACATTTTTACCTTTATAGTCTTTCTCTATTTTATCTTTTTCATATTTCTCTTTGTCTGGCTTTGTAACACTATCATAGGAAGGTGGAGAGGTTGTAGAGGAGCTCTCATATGTTTTTTCTGGAGTGGAGTTTTCATTGAGTTTATCAATAATCATATCTTTGACAGGTAAGCCATCCCCTTCGGTTTTATCTTTGTTATACATACAGGAGACTTTTTTAACTTTTTGCTTTAAAATGTAACATCTGTAAGCACGCTGAATAACAGTAGCAGATACCTCTTCTTGTTTTCTTTTTAATGTAGTTGTAATTGGTTCATAGGAAACTTTAGAAGGATTTGCTGCCATAAACCGGTCTTCCATCTGTATTCGAAGTGCATCCATCTCATCACTGTCCCCCAAAACACGCTTTGTAAAAGCAAACAAGATGTCAAGGCAGTGAATTCTGTCACCACTCACCATGGGCAGATCCATTGCAATAAGCTGAACTTTGTTTGGTTTTGCTACAAGAAGAGGAGGATCCAGTGAAGCTGCAAAATCAGACAGTTTACTGAACTCTATGAACTGGGTGGCG